CTTTGTGCCTAGTGACAAAAACTCCTCCTAGCTGATGTATAGACTATATTCTTCAGTACTTGAAGTTTATATTTTCAAATGTGCTGTGAAATTCTGTGGGGTCCGTTAATGGCTAATTGAGGTGGAATGAGTTCACTGCTAAAATGGCAGAAGGTTCAAAGTGGAAGTCTTGAAAGAGATGATTACAGGGAAGAGGCTTGGGTAATTGACGGCCATTGAACAAAGGGTTCACTGCTTTCACAGTGTTTGGCCAACACTGGTACAGGCCTTGCATTTAGTCAGCCTGCATAATGAAGCTGTGTGTCTTTGTATGTACTGTGGCCAATGTATCTCAATACTTATATAGCCCTGTTGACCTGACAAGTAGTCAAATGGTGTTACTGTAGTGAGAGTTTAACCTGGAGCAGAATGTAGTCTGGCACTGCAAGGTACTTTGTATAAAACCGTTTGTGGATCTTCCTCTAAAATGTGACTACAAAAATTATTTAAAAAAAAATTAAAAAAATTTAATATTGTATTATTATTATTATTATTATTATTATTATAATGTATATATAATAAAAATTATATTAAAATATAAAAATGTATATAAGATATATTCCTGTAAATGTAAAAACTGTAGCTTGATGCCTGACAAAAAACATTAATTAATAACGACTCATGCTCAAGCTAGCATGAAGTCTCTTTTTCTATTCTAAAATCTGTTTTCTATTTTAATATATTTTAAAATGAAATTCATTACTGTTATGTCAAAGCTGAATTTTCAGCATCATTACTCCAGTCTTCAGTGTCACATGATCCTTCAGAAATCATTCTAATATGCTGATTTGCTAACTTTTTATTCACTTTCATTGCATGAATAAAAACAGTTGTAACTGTCTTCAAAATATCTTCTTACACAGGCATCTGTAAAGACATTTTCAGATCATAAAGGTGAAATCCATTTACAGTTATATCCTGATTCCCCATGCCTCAAAACTAAGTCTGTATTAAACTCTATGAAGAGCATTTGTTGCATCCTCAGAGCTGTTATTGAATCTATTGCTATGGTGCATCACGATATTTCCACTATAACAACACAGGATTGCTTCCAAGATGGACAATATTCTTTGTCCACCATGATTTATAATTCTATAAAGGTAAACCTTTGCCTCCGGAGGTGAGTGAGCCAGAAGTTTATCATGCTTTTTGTGTCTGGAGCACAAAAGCATTGAAAATAAGGACATATCTTTCAGGGCATTGTGTTTGTATTGGAGTTGCTTGAAGTAAATAAGTTTCTAAAAGGCCCTCTAGAGTGTCGTTTTACACAGACACTTCAGCAAATTCAGACTGAAATGCTTTCCCGGGCTTTCTTATGTTTAAATGTGCAGGGCATGCCCACACTTTCTGAACTTCTTTCATGGAAACAAGCAGAAGAAACAGTTTCTGTATACCTCACTTATGTCAATTTGGTAAAAACATCACAGTGATACTGGTGTAACACTGGTTTTGCACCCGCTGTCTGAGGCCACCACTTAACTGGATGTTGCTTGACAGTTTTGACTAAATGGTTGGAGATAAATGTCCCACTTTACTAATCTGGCCGCCAGGGATTCCTTCTGGCATGACAGGGTGGAAATATGCATTCCAGTAAAATGAGATGGAGTGCAATTGAGGGTTCCTTGACAGTTTTTTGTTGCTCTTGTTGATAATTCTGGCATGCAAATCTAAGTGACTGCATGGGAAATTTACAAAATGTTTCCCACTGTGCAACTGAGTTGTACTTTTTGGTTTTCCCTCAAAAACACGATCACTTGCTATGGAAGCAAAACCAGCTGGGCAACCACTGGTGGAGATTCACTGCAAATAAGTGTCTCGTATGCAATCAGCAAAGATGAAATAACAAGTCAGAGTCTAAGACTCTGCGTAAACATCAGTTTACGCAAAATTAATCCACATAGAACTTCACTTTGAACCTCTCTGCATCAAAATGACAGCAGTAAATGGTCTGTAACACTTTATAGAGCTCTTCCTCTCTAATCTTGCCAGCAGACATGAGAGAGAAGATCGTCTTTAATGCCGTTTGAAAGCAAAGGTGCTCTGTCAAAACAGATAAGGCTGTTCTGTTCTTTTCTCTTTCCTTTGGTTTCAGACAATAAATGAAATTCTCCGTCATAAAAAGGAGTGAAAAGGTGAATGAAAAACATATATCCTTGAGCCCTCTCAGTTCTGGCTCATTTCAGCATCTTGCGTGTGAAAAAGAAGAGGTATTGGAAATGAAAAGGAATAAAAAAAGAAGCCTGTGCTATTAGTCTATTAGCATGCACATTCTCAAAACCCTTGCTGTAAACACCCACAAACACAAGCCTAGCAGACTATAAATCAGTCTTTTTGCCATTAAAGACTCATGCAGTTTGTATAGAGTAACTCTGGGTGTTTATATACATATGTATGTTTTTCCACACTTCATATGATTTCTCTGGCTTACTGAGTTAGCCTGTGCGTCAAGTGGAGGGGTTTAAAGAAGTGGGGTCACTCATTACTTTGAGAACCATCTGTTAGTCGAGGTAAAGACTACAGAGGGATGGTGGAATCCATTTCCTATCTCTTGTAGCTGTAGATTTCAAACTCAAAATCTTTTGGTTATCAGCTCAGCTTCTTAACCACTACACCACCATAACAATGAATCTAATTCAATTAAACATTTTACGGTCTAGCAACTAAGCTACACCGACTCCCAAGTCATCATCCACTGCTACTGATACCTCATTCTTTCCACGTCCTCCACTCTACAAGAACAAAATGACAAATCAAGCAGCTTTACAACCCCTCCATGTGCTTCTCCATAGCCACCAGGCACTGTTTGATTGTGTATCAGCTTCATGGAGCAGCGGATATTGGCTTTGTTTGCCTATGGCTTTGTCGTTTTTCATCTGGGTCCCTCCACATTTTGTTTTCCTTTTGGTATCCGAGTTCACTGAAATGTGAACAATTAGGATCCCTAGAAAGATAATAAACAACTCTGACAAATTGTCAATGCCCAAAGTATCCGTATGTTTAACAGAAAAAAAAA